TTTTTTTTTTTTGTGTAGAATGTATTTTAAAATAGTAGATTGATGCAGAATGTGTGGTTAAAAAATAAAGAAAATGTTTGTATCTGCGTTTATATTATTTTATTGGAGAGTGTGTGGTTGAAAATAAGAGGGAGAAAAATGTATTTTGAAAAATTAAAATAGGGATCAAACCAGAGTTAAAGTTTAAATTGTAGAAAATCAACTTAGTTACTTACTTCTATCATGTGGCTAGCATCCATATTTAAAAATCTTAATATGCATGTTTGGTTTTTATTGTATTGTAATATGGTAAGCATTACACTCGAAAAAAAAACATGAAAGCTTTATCTTAGATCACTTTTTTCTCTATCTGAATTCTAATTATATATGTTTCATCACATATATTTTTCAAATGAAGAATTTGTTTAATATGATGAAGCAATTTGACTGAGGTTTGTGAATCATGTTATGCCGGTAGGCTCGGGAGAAGGAAGAGTTTCAATACCAAGAACTCTAATAGGGAAAGATCACGATATTTGGTAGCCTTCACGAATTAAAGAATTATGTTTGATTGCTAAGTTTGTGTGTGTATATAAATGTAATTGAATTCTCCATTGAAAATATTACCGAGGACGTGTATATTTGTCAAATAATGCACATATGACGGCATAAACCTACAAAAGTTTCTTGAATTGAAAAATAAATCCTCTTAGGCTAAATTTAGGTTAAAAACAAAAGGCAATGTAGGGATTATGAATTATGATGTATGAAGAATTTTTTATTTGAAAAAAAAAAAAAATACCTTGCCAAAAGGTGCTACTAACTGTTGAAGGGCAGCAATTCTCTCTCCCAATTTCTCTTTTCTAACCTGATAAATTCAGTTCAAAAAAGTCATGAGAAAAATAATTATAAAACTGAACTTAAATATTAAAGACTTCCAATTAATTAATTTTTAAATGAATCCGAACTAATAAATATTCGTTAGCTCTATATTAATGCTACTTAACAATACCAGTATTTAACACGAGTATTCGAGTCATCAAAGTGAATTTAAACGTTAAAATATGAGACTCATTTTATTGAACGTATCACTATGTAGCTACATATATTAACCCTATTGCTGAACATTATTAATGTTACAAAGCATTACTCGTACCTTAAATGGTGGGCAAGAAGTGCGTGGTTCTTTACGCGATTTTTTGGGTGCTTTTGTCTCCATTGTATTGCTGCTTCGTTTTGCTTCTGCAACTCCTTTACTAAAGGGTGATGCCTTTAAAATCCAAAAAGCGAAAGTTAACAGAAACAATAATGGCTATCTTGTTAAAATCAATACATTAAAGAAGACTCGATTTTACTGGAAAAAAAATGTATAATTATATAAAGGTGCATACAAATGCATAAAGCTGAAGTAGCCTGTAAATGGAGAAAAGGGGAGGCTTTCCTTTTGGCATAGCAATCTATTTGAAAGGAGAAAAAGAAAAAGCAAAACGACAGAATATTTTAGGGTTGGACAAAACTCCCGAACTGAATCGAACCCAAATCGAATTGAGCGATTCTTCTTAAATTAAATATCCGAACGTGTATCTAAATAGAGAATTGACGGGTTTGGTTCGGTTCTAGACCCATAACCGAATAAGAACCGAATCTCCTTAATTTTTTTATCTTAAAGAAGTCAAATTATTTTATTTTTT